AGAGTCTCACAGAATCAGAAACCCAAGTTCCAGATGATTCTCGTCTAACTTCCCTAAACCCTAAACCCTAAACCCTAAACTCTAAACCCTAAACCCTAAACCCTAAACTCTAAACCCTAAACCCTAAACCCTAAACCCTAAACCCTAAACCCTAAACCCTAAACCCTAAACCCTAACCCTAAACCCTAAACCCTAAACCCTAAGGGAAGAGAGGTCGACGATGCTGCACGTCGGCTGGTTAATCATTTGGTTGGAGAGAATGCTGATGAAAAATGTCGTATTTTTGCTGTCACTAGCATGGGCGGGATAGGGAAGACAACTATTGCCCAAAAAAAATTTAACCATCCAAAAATTCAGACATTTTTCAATTTGAAGTTGTGGGGTTGTGTTTCACATAATCAATCAGGAATTGAATCGTTGAAGCAAATAATAAGTGGAGTTAAAGGGAGATGCAGGGATGATAGTACTAAAACAGAGCTGCAAGTCATTGTTCGTGATTCTATTGCTGCAGGTAAGAGCATTTTTCTTGTTTTGGACAATTTGTGGACGGCGTCTGTATGGGCTAATTGGCTTGAAATTCCGTTGATTGAAAAAGCCGTCCCAAATGAAGCCTTAGTCACAACTAGACATGAAAATGTTGCTGTTGATATGAGGGCAGTGCATATTCATCGTGTGGAGCTTCTTTCTGAAGAGAGCAGCTGGGACACACTTTGTAGGAGACTTTTTTCTGCGGAAGAAGTGGAGATAGCTAATGAGTTGAAGGAGCTAGGAATTAAGATAGTTGAAGGATGTAATATCTATTAATTACAAAGTATTGTCATCTAGTTGTAGAGATGAACTTATAGATAACTGATATCAATATACATTTTTCACTTTGTATTTGCTGATGAAGTGAACAACTTTTGATTATTTAGCTCTATCAACGAAATTTATTTGGTAGATAATTTGAAATTGTAATGAAGGTCTATCTTATTGATATGGATGCTGTTAATGTTATTTATTGCTCTGCTTATGCCTGTTATTTCTATTTTCGTAATTTGGTCATTTTGTGTAGCTGGCTTTGTATTTTTCTCAATGGTTGGCGTAAATTCAGATACTACACTTTCTGAGGTATAATTTGTTCATTTCATCCACTGTTATTTATTATTGGAATATTGATTAGTACTTTGATGATTTGTTTTGGGGCACTTATGTTGGTTATGGGAATTTGTTTAGATATGTGGTTTGGTTATCAGTGGACTTGGTTTCTTATGTGGGTGGCCCTTCCCAGTCCTGGATCTATTATAGATGGGTCGGCATTCTAGTTCTATTGCTTCTACAACTGTGTGTTGACCTCGTTTTTCGTACGAGTGCCCTCGAGGGTCTTCGAGCAATTTAATTGTACCTCATCGAGTTCAATTTGGGCTCGAACCGACTCGAATTTAGCCGAATTAGATCAGACTGCATTCAATTAGACTCGATTAATTTATTTTGGTCGCGCCGTGCCCGATTTGATTTAAATTAGCGATTATTTTAAATCCAATTTCATATGATTAATTTTATGGAGTCGTCTCGAGCCCAAACTTAGCCCGAATTGAGTTGACCTAGGCTTGAATTAGACATGATTTCAGTCTTTGGATTCATCCCAATTCTGATTAGAGAGCTATTAACTTTCTGCCAGGCATTCTACTCTCTTTCCTCTTGCTGGAGCGCCCCCCCCCTCTGTCAAGAGCGATGAGGGGTCTATTTTTAGATTTCCTAGAGTGGCATGACAGGTAAATAGGAGGAGTATCAAGGGCAAATGGGGAGTGGTTTGGATGGACGATCGATATTGAATCCCTTGATCGTGGACCGTTCGTTAGACTTTTGAAAGTCTTAATGATGTTGGAATTCAACAATCTTAGGCCTGTTGGATTCATCTAATCGAGCCGCTTGATTCAATTAGAAACATGTCATATTTAGAAACTATTTGGTAATCCAAATTGTGGTTAGAATCTTCCAACATTGCTTCGGGTCCTCGATACGGACTATACATTCATTTTGACTATAAGTTTGCATGATCCCAATTTTAATTTTGGAAGTTTTCAATTTGATTTTGCCTCGAGATTAGTGCTCGATCAAGATTAATTTTTAATGATGCATCAGTTGCCCCTATTTTCTATTATCAAAGCTTCAGAAGTCTAATAATATGTGTCGCAGCCTTTGAGAAAATTTTTATGCAATTTGAAATTTAAATTAATTTAAATTGGGGCATAAAGGACTCGAATAGCTCTAAAGTGCCAAATTTGGGTCCGGGATGTTCAAAAAATATCCAGAGACAAAAAAAATGTCTGATTTGACCTTTTCTGGCCCAAAATTGGGCCAGAACAGCCACTGCCACTCGTTGGCTAACCGGCGGAACTATCGATTTGCCTGAGCATTGCCTGGTCATTGCCCGACTTGCCCGCGAGCTGTGCGGCTCTGCCACCCATTTACTTTCTCGGGTTGGTCGTGGCTAACATGGCAAACAAGCCACTTAAACCCCCAGGTAGCATTTTAGTCAACCGCTGGTAGTTGGCCAATCGCCTGCTAATCGTGAGATGATTTTTATGTGGAACTATATCTTTTCTTTTCTATTTCCTTTTTTTTCTCTTTCATAACTACCCTAACCTCTCCTCTATACGATAAATATCCCCCTAAGGGATATGAAACTTTGCCCCTTCTCCTTTTCACCTCTCTTTTTTCATTTGAGGCCTTCCCCTAGCCTTGTATTGGCGGCATACCCTATCTAGGCCCAGGGGCCCTTTCTGCAAGAAGGAGGCTCCCTCTCTTCCCTCTCTTCCCTCTCTCCTCTTCATGCTGAGGCATTTCCCTAGTTCTGTTCAGGTGGTATCTGCTTTCGAGGTTTAAGACCCCTCATTGACTGAGAGTCTCCTCCTCCTTTTTCTTATCTCACTCATGCTTAGGCATTCCCTTAGTCCTGTTCAGGTGGTATCCACTATCTAAGTCTAGGGCCCCTTATTGAGTAGGAGTCTTCTCCTCTTTTTTCTTATCTCCCTCATGCTAAGGCATTCTCCTAGTCCTGTTCAGGTGGTATCCCCTATCCAGGATTAGTGAATTTTTATTAGGTCCGGACACCTGACGTATCTCTATATTCGGACGCTAATAACATGATGCCACATGCTCTTACTCTTTACCGCGTGGCCCGAAGACCTGACCCGGACCAAAATTCGGTATTACATTCTAATTTGTCGGTCACTTGAATCAAAGTTGGCTCCAAAATTTCAATGTAAAAATAAAAGTTGCCTACTCCAAGACATATGCCTAATAATTCTTCTCATGTCGCTTTAAATATTTAGATGCAAAAGCAATTATCTTCCCTTTTTACTACAAAACACACGTAAGCCTTTCAGAGATCCATCATTTTAAATCTCAAAACCTCCAACTCTATATAAAATAATTAATATAGGGTTCAACACTAGACATTCCTTCAACTAATGGAAACTTACTTCTTATTTTGGTATTCAATCAAAAGGCACAGCCTTCTGAGTCAACCTCATTAGAAGGATTGAAATCTATGAAAAAACCCTTAAAAAATTCATGAACTATCCCACTATGCCACAAAAAAAGGACCTTTGCCACAAATGATGGTATTGTCCAATCCACCCTGGCTTGCACCTTTTGAGGATCCATAATAAAATTATTCTTGCATACCACATGCCCCCAAAATGCTATAGAAGTCAACCAAAATTCACATTTCAAGATTCAAGCATACATCTTCTACTATCTCAAGGTTTCTAAAGTAAATCTCAAATGGACGGTATGTTCTTCTTCAAACTTTGAATACACCAGGATATCATCAATAAGCAAAAAAAAAAATGAATTTATCCAGATACTCCTTGAACACTCAATGCATTATGTTCATAAATACCAACTGTGCATTCACACCAAAAGACAAAAATATAAACTCAAACTACCCATATATGGTACTGAAGGTTATCTTCACCATAATTTCAGCCATCAACCTCAATTGATGATAACCAAAATGCAAGTCAAATTTGGAAAATATAGCTACACATTCTAATTGATAAAAAATCACTATCTTGAGAAGTGGGTACTTATTTTTCACAGTCACTTTATTCATCTCTGAATACTCGATGTGCATCCTTAAGGCCCATCCTTCTTCTTCATAAATTAGATAGGAGTCCTTGCTATCAGAGGTTTACCCGATACCACTTCAATATATAAATCTACCTCACTTTTAGGAGGCAAACGAGATAGCTCTTTAAAAAAAAAAAACATTTAGAAAATCCTTTACCATAATAAAATTTTCAATACCCTTAACAAACTTGTTTAGATTTGTTACATAGGACAAAAATATAGAATCCCCCTTCTTCGTAACATTATCTATTTGCAATATAAAAATTAGAGAAGACAACGGACTGTTGACAACTTCGAAATAAAATATTTCTCTTTCTACACACAAACTCACTCGCTTCTTACTATAGTTAATTTGAACTTGATACTTGCTTAACAAATCCATTCCAACTATAATATCAAATTCTTTCATATGTAATACAATCAATTCCAATGCTAACTTTTTATTAGAAAGCTCAATCTCACATGCACAAATTTTAATAACAAACACCAAATCTTGAGTAGGTAGCATAACGCACAATTTAGAAGATAATGGAGTAGGGAATAAACTTAAATCATCAAGAACACACTCATGCATGAAGGAATGAATGGCATTGAAATAAAAAAGAATATGACATGGTTTCTCAACAATGTCATACTTGTCACTATGTCTAGAGCCTCATTTATTTTCTATTGAGTCAAGTTATATGCCCTAGGCTGCACTCGAGGAGCACTACAACTACCATAGACTTCCTCTACATCCTCAATAAAAAAATACTCCGACACTTCAGACGCAAGTCAACCTATCTTTCCCATAGAGCATTCGTTCATCTTCTCTATAAAAAGATTCATAACACGAAAGATACAATTTTTTTACTCGGAACGAACTCACAAACATAGAAAAATTATCGAGGAATTACAGAACACGACCACGGTCGACGAAAAAAAGATGCTAAATGATCACACATAATATATATGAAATAGAAAAAACACTCATTGATAATTTTTCAAGATTAATTATCCTATAAATACTATTTGAAGAAAACCACAAACAGAGAAAAAGTATGAGAAAAATTCTGCACTGTGCATATAACAAATAAGAAAGAATAAAGAACAACAGTAGAAGAACAGTAGGGATTTGTAAGATGCAAATCTGAAAATAAAAAACCAAAGCCAAAAACACTTGTCATTTAGCACATATATAAATGAATAGAAATAAAACACGCAAGACACTTAAAGATCACTTCACTCATTCCGAGAGAGGAATACAGATCTCTCAATCTACTTAGACGCCAACAACAAAAGCTTAAAAGAGCACCAAAGAAAACCCTAGAATCATAGAAAGATCTAACACAACTATAACTATCAGCAAAAACATGTCAAGGAGATGCCCCGATGCAACACAACAAAAAAAATCAATCGCATCCTTAACTCAGCTCATACTTCAAAGGGCAATCTCCCCTAAACCAGTCCCTCATCCAACAAATATCATCATTTCCCTCCCAATAAACTCCCTCTAAATTTCTTCCAAATCTTGATCCCCGAAGGCGCGCAATGCGTGCTCTAAGCGCGAGGGACCGTTACCTTCTATTATTAGCCACAGGCGCCCGAGCTTCTCCCACTAGTTTTGCATGATTTTCGCGTTTCCCCGTCCCAACCGATCCAGCATGGTTGGCTGCGCACGAAACTTTCTAGACAGTAAGCAGGATGCAAAAAGCATAGAACTGGTGGTAGATTAGGGGATGCAACACAAGTCGATGTCGGAGCTCGAGCTCAGGCACGCGGTTTTCTATTGTTCATGGCCGACGAGTCGAACAGCCTTCAAACTATGTCACATTACCCAGAGCACATCGAGCTATGAGCCACAGATCGACCTCTGTTCATATAAGTCCTCAACAGCCCGCCTGGTCCAAGAGCAGCCTCACGGTCAACACCTCCTGAGCACAGTCCGGTTCGCGCCTTAATATGGTTTAACCCTGATGTCCAACCTGGTGCGGACCTTTTAAAACGGAAAGAGAGAGTAGACGAGAGGAGAGCAGAGAGAAGAGAAAGGTAGAGAGACGCCATAACCGAAAACATGAATATCTTAATAGGCATTTTAATTATTTCCGCCCAGCAACGCTGTACTCAATCAATAACATGTGGAGACAAGCTGGGTTACATCTATCATTTATTGGAACCTACGCTCTCACACCTGTCTTTGTCAAGAGAAAGAAGCAGAAGACAGCGGCAAGAGCGAAGCATCGTACAGAGTAGGAGAGAAACTTTGAATACACGCAGGGTTTTGACGAAATTAATAAAAAATAGGCACCATGGTAACTTATCTCGGAAATACATGCGTTTCATAACATTTACTTATTTAGTAGTTTATTTTTATTAATATTTATATTTAATAAATTACTCGTAGCCGGCTCGTCGGAGCTACGCGAGCCTCATGACCGAGCTCGGCGTCAAGCTCGACCTCAGATGAGCCATCGATAAGCTTGGCCGCGAGCTCCTAAACGAGTCGAAGCTTCCCGAGCTGGATCGCCTCAAGATCACGGACCTTCTGCTCAACTCTGCCCCCTAGTGGGATCGCGTTAGACAGTACACCAGGGCCATAAGCTCATCAGCTCATACAATATTCACAGATTGTAAACGCTCCACGTCAGTAAAAGAATAACGCAACACTGAAGGCATGATTGATAAACCATATGCAATGCCGCAGAAATCAATGATAACAAGAGGAAGTAATTTCTGCGGACCAAGCTCCCACCTCTATTTTCTAGTCGCAGGGCACGCACAATACGATAATAACTCAAAATAATCAGGAACATGATCATAAAAAAACACCATCGAATATCTCTATTGCTTACAGAACGATAACTTATAAACCTAAAGAAAACCACCATCTACTTCACTTCCCAAAAATTCACTAAGTTATCTGATGATGCTGTCCTTCCAAGGAGTACTCACTGATCATTCACAGTATAAAGTTGAAGAAACACTGACATACTCTTCATCATCTTCATGGAGATGGTTTGAAATCCAGTTTGTGGAGAAAGAAATTTCCAGCGTATCCGGGTTATTCGGCCTTGAAGATCTCAATATGAAGCTAAACAAGACCGGCCTCAAGACAAAACACCCGAGGTACACATATTGATTTCTTGACATAGATTCGTCCTCCAAAAATATGGTTGGCAAATTCTTGATCTCAGCCTCAGTATTTTAAGGTACTTGATAGCAACACACCCCCGGAAAAGGTAACTAGTCACATTTTCTCAGAATCTATGCACGACGATTCAGTAAAAGTATACGCCTGAATAAAAAACAATTCCTGCAAACTTGAAAAAGATTCCTCAAATATTTAAATTTTCAGGCCAGTGGTTTAGCGAACCGACATCTGAAGTTACAATGGAAATTGCCGACAAGAGACAAAAGAATGAAAACGAAACATTTTTTCCTACAGCATAGCATTTTTCCTTATTATAAACACAATACCAGAAAATCACTACAATTTAACCATAATGGGTTCTAAGAATTGGTACTAAATATCACAATAAATGATTTAATCACAAATCCAAATCAAATCTATGAGACAACTGATATAAAAGACTGGATCATATTTATTTGAAATAAAATAAATATGGGACTTCCTACATATTATGTTAATTATTAAAGGAACGCATTAGTAAATACATTGGAATAAATATGCATTGAAATTGATTAAGCGAGCGCCAAAGCGCTCGAAATACCAAACCATTGAAATCAACGCGTAGATATGTTCTCACATTATCTTAATCTGGGCGAAGACCAGATACCAGTATAAGCAATACTTCTTAATGACTATTCTTTACAACAAACATGATACTTATACTGCTGTTAACTTATCAGAACTAGAAGCTTATGACATACGCACTATTAGCTATCAATTGGGTTTGCGAGAAGGTTATCCACCAAGTAGTGTGTCTCACACACATAGCCTAGTAACCTATGTAAAAATATCAAAGTGGTAAGGTACTGTACAACAAGGATGGCGGAGTGCAAGTAGTCCAAATACTGCAGTACAATGATAAACGGGACTATACAGAGTTGGGCATAAACTCTTTATATATTCAGCAATTCAAATTTTAGCTTAACACAATTGACATAATCCGCATCTGTCGTAAAACATAACTTTTCCTTCTTGAGAATGAACACTGGGTAACCAGTAAAAATAAAAGCCAATCAGCTGATAGTCTTATAATTAAACACTATGCTTTGATTTGCAATCCCTTTGATCCTCCTACTCTTAGGAAAGAGTAGGGACTCAAAATCCAATGTTCATTTAAGCCGGGCTCGGTGCTTCATCTAGGCCCGCCTGAGAAAGAGCACATTCAATGTTACGAACCACCCACGCGAGTGCTACACTAGGCCAAGCGCTCTGTATGAAAGACGTAGGACATTCTACGTTCGATTACGAACCTCTTAATGATACAATTTGTTTTTCACTATTATTTACTATCCAATTGTTCCATGATAAATATTCTAGAAAAAACCAGAGTCTAATAATGAGCTATCATTAACTGACAGATAAATTGGAAGCGCATTATTACTCTAATGACTAAAATGATCATATATGAATAGTCAGAGGACTAATTTTGAAAGTTTAACCCTTAAAGAATATTATTTGACCTAAGGGCCTTCGATTTGGGATAGCTTTTAACGTGCGTTCTTAAAAGCAGCTTTCCTTAGACATAATATTTTATAAATTATTAAATTATAAGATTCATAGACCCTTTTGACTGAAAGATGAGCTTTAGAATTGCAATAATAAACATCCAAACAAACTAAATTTAGCATTGATTTGGAAAAATATTATATTGAATCCAGTTTTCAGGTTAGATTATGACAAAGGACGTAGACTATACGAAGATAAAAAAAAAGTGTCCTCAAAGGAGCCAGATAATATCAATTGAGATACAACTAACAAGTTTCTAAATATAAGGAGCACATTCGTTCAGAGAGGTATCATAATGATTGTACATTATAACGCTTGATTCTATTACATGCCATTGCTCATTAGTTATAAGAATTCCTTCTATTGAGTCAATATTGATGTATCTAAAGTGTTGACTGTAACTGCAGACACGTGACTCACGCACGACAAGCCCCACCGACATACCAAACGCACAACGATTTCGCTCACCGCCTTCACTCACGATGAATAAAATCCCGTCTCTCCATCGATTCAAAAAAAAAAAAAAGAGGGGGAGAAGATTTTATTTGAACGCCTTACCGGAAGGAACGAACGACAGCCCTAGCCTTGCTCGATCTCCGCACGGCACTATGTCCGTACCGCACCGCCTTGCAAATCCGTCGGACCGGCCTGTATTCTTGCGATCTCCATCCGACAGCCTCTGGCCACCTAAGCCTGCGCCGACGAAGCCTGACTCCGAACGCCGACGCTGTCCGGCTCCTGATCCCGTCGTTCTCGCTCCTGTATTCCGGATTCCGGTGGGCAGGAGCCTGTCTTCCTCCCTCTCTTGTTATACTATGTTAGGTCTTTTTAATATTATATTATATTATTATACGATTATACATATATAGTATTATTATAATTAGTATTTATAGTGTTACTATATATTTATGTTGATAAAACAGCATTAATAAATAAATAGAGAAGAGAGGGAAGAGAGAATTAGGAGAGAACATGAAGG